AATAAAAAAAAAATTAAAAAAAAAAAAAAAAAAAAGAAAAACTGTAGAATGATGAAGTTTTTTTTTCCATCATGGAGTATTCATTTGTTTATTATTGAGCACCTATAGGATTACTTTAATCTAGTTTCAGGAACAAGGGATGATAAGTCCTTGTGTATGTGTGTAGAGGAGGTGGTAAATGTACTTTCAAGTAACTTTTACTTCTCTGGTGGATCTTTATGGGGTCTGGCACCCAACCATGGGAACCCAGGCTCTCTCCCATGACTTGGCAGGCACTAGTATCCAAGTTTTATCTTCCTATCTTCCCAGAGATAGTAAAAAACACTGTTTATCCCCTTAAGTACTTCTTCTAGAATCAGCCAACAACTTCAGGTAAGAAGGGCCCTAAGCTGGGATTGCTTTTGAGATTTTTATATTTTAAAAAGATGGTTTTCAGATTACCTAGTTGTCCATGGAAATTTTGATGTTAACTACATAGTTGCCATTACTGGAGATAGAACTCCTCCTCTACCTTATTTCTTACACTATAAAATAAGCTCCTTAGATGCAACATTTTGAGGAAAATCATGATAAACAGGTTGTTTAGCATTGCACACAGAAGCACAGCATATAGGGAAGGCTAATCTAAATCCAGATTCACACTGTCCAGTCTATGAGGAAGAATAGCTGCTTCTTTGGAGAAAAGAGCATCAACCTGGCACTAACCAACTATTTGTTCACCTTAAGGAATGACACCTAAGGATTGGTCCCTCCTGCCTGCAGACTGGGCTCTTAGCAGTCACAGTAATTAGGGTAGTCCTGACGAAAGGAGGGCAATATTGTTGAAGTCCATGTAAAGCCCCAATCTTTCCAGGATAGCCACTTTGTTCATAAGCTGATTGAACAAGGATTGGGATATCAAAAAAGATCTGCCAACATCTTCAGAATCAACTTGACCATCTGATTATTTAGTATCTCCTTCACAATAGGGCCTTTGTATTTATGTGGAAAACAATTATTCTTATAATCTGAGACAATTTTACATTTAGTTCCCAAATTTTATCATTCATGTTCCTATCTTACTACTTCATGTCCTTCATCAACTATGTCATAAGATGGTGGAGTCCTAGAAATCTCACCTTCTGTGCAAAGCAGACAAGAAGTACTACTTAGATTTATTTCTCTAGTGACTTCCTGAGTTTCTTTCCTTACTGCTCTCCATACCATCACTGAGTGGGGTTGTAGTACTACTGTCTACTTCTAGCTAATACCAGCATACTCTGCAGTACTGCTTGTATAATCAGGCTCAGTTTTTTCCTCCTCAGTTAACTGGGAAATATAGTATTCTTCCTACTATAAATATAGTTCATGGGTTTGCTTGCTTGCTCATTTGTTTTCTCCTTCTTTCAGACATCCTGCCTCATTAAATTCAACTTGATGGATGTAATTGGATATGGAAACAAGATTCTACACTAGAGTAGAATTGAAACAGAAGAGGAAGTGGGGACATGTTGTTTCTCAGGGTTATATTTTAAGAGATTTGGAGAAGAAATGTTAGTAAAAATTATAGCATGAGGGTGGGGGCAGGATAGAAGGAAAAGCATCTCAGCTAAATAAAAAGAGTAAAAGTTTTAAGATAAATGTGCTACAAACCTTCATTAGGCAGTAATGGACCTAGGATACAAAAGTTAAATATATTTGTAGCTTCCATAAAAGAAAGCAAATGAAACAAGAAGTGAGGATTTACAGTATTGAGGTTAAGTCTTTCCTACTTTACTTCCTGAATAGCATAGATACAAAGAAAAGAATAGAAGAAAAAAAATAAATTTCAAATGCTAACCCAGAAAAATCTTCAGGCTATTCATTACTTTAAATATTGAAAAATGATATATCGTAATCTGCCTCTCAAAAAACCTTTATGCAGATACACTGTAAAGAACCAAAGTAGTCAGGTTTTAAACTTTCACCTTTATCTCTGTGTGGATGTATGTTGGAGAATCAAAGGAGTTTCCCAGAATTCTCTTGAATAGAAGAGGAGCAACACAGATCTCTTATTTGTCACGCATTTCCTGGATTGAATTCACATTCTATTTAGCAAAACAAATCTTTATTTACTATTATGTAATAGATGTACTAAATTAACACACAGGGCAATAGTCCAGTGTGGAAGAGAGTAAGGAAATATAATCACAATGCATTGCAATGAGGATTATGTTAGAGCACTTACCAAGTAGGAACCAAGAATGTTATAGGAGTCAAGAAGCTCTAGAAGAAATCTTTGAGTTTTTTAGTAGAACCATAAGAAGTCACTAAGAGACATTATCAATATGCTGTATTTATAATATTGACTTACAATCTTTGAATAGGAAGAGAGAAACAGACCTGAAATCATTAGTATCAATATGACTTAGATAAAACTTTAGCTCACTTGTGTCAACATGATTTAGTTGTTTATTCCAGAAAATCTTTGCCTAGGACAGATAGGATTGTAAACAAAGCAAACAAAAAACCAAACAGAAACTGTCCGTAATTTTTTGTTTGCATAAAGAAATTCTGATAGGATGGAGACAATAATTTGCTTACCTGGGCAAACAGCTGGTTTATCAAACAATAGTTTATCAAGATTTTTCAAGGCCCTTGCTTACTGTGTCCACCAATCCAAAGTTAATTTCATTAACTTTGTCAAATCTGAGAAGTTTCCTCTCTTGACAGACCTACTTAAACCATCTGAGCACAGATCCCAAACCTCTAATATCTAATTTTCTAGTTCTGAGACACTGCTAAGCACATCAAAGCAGTGTACTCTCCTATTGTAAGTTTTCATACTTCGTTTTGCTTTTATTAATAAGATCTCTTCAAGAAGTTTGTCCTTTCTGAAACAACTTAAATGTCCATTGATATGGATGGATGGATTAGGAAAATGTATATAGCTGACTCTTGAACAACAGGGGTTAAGGGTGGTGACCCTCCATGCAGTTGAAAATCCCCATTCCAACTTTTGAATCCCCCCAAATTTAGCCTGTTGTTGACCACAAGTCTTACCAAAACATAAAAATCCATTAATACATAGTTTGTATGTTATATGTATTATGTACCATATTGTTACAATGAAGTAAGCTAGAGAAAATATTAAGGAAATCATAAGAAAAAATACATTTACAGTACCATATTTTTGGACAAAAATCTGCATAAAGGAGACCCATGCAGTTCAAACCTGTGTTGTTCAAAAAAATAAAAAAGAAAAGAAAAACCTGTGTTGTTCAAGGGCCAATTGCATATACAATGGAATAGTATTCAGCCATATGAAAGAAGGGAATTTTGCCATTTGCAGTAACATGGATGGATCCTGAGGGCATTATGCTAAGTGAAATTAAGTCAGAAGGTGGGGATGAAAAAGGGTGGGCAAAGTGGGTAAACGGGGCCAAAAGGTACAAACTCCAGGGATAAAATAAATAAACTCTGTGGATATAATGTACAGTATGATGACTATACTTAATAATACTCTACTACACACTTGAAAATTGCTAACATTGAGTAAATCTTATCACAAGAGAAAAAATATTGTAACTATGTATGGTGATGGATGTTAACTAGACTTTTGGTGACCATCTCTCAATATACACAAGTATTTAGCCATTATGTTACAGGTGAAACTAATTTAACATTATATGTCAATTATACCTCAATTTAAAACTTAATCGATTATTTTTTTTAAAAGAAGTTTGTCTTTTCTAACTACAAACCACTACCAGACATACAAAAATAATCAATTCATTGCTATCAGCTATTAGGCCAAATGTTAAGTTAGTATGAGAATTAACTGATGAACTTGTTAGAAATATAGGTTTCCATACTTCACGCTTCACAGTGATTCTGATTTAGGGGGATTAGCACAAGGTCCAGGAATCTCTATTTTTAAAAGTGCCAGTTTTTTCTTAATGTAGGCTATACTTTGATCATGCTTAGAAAAATAATGCTTTTCTCCCTGCATACCAGCAAACATATGTTTGTGTACATGTGTATATTATATATTATACATATACACACATACATTATATACATATTACATGTTATATATACTATATATGTATATAGAAACATACAAAAATAACGCTCATATTAAATGTTCTGCATACTTTTTATGAAAATGGGATCATACACATACATACACATATATATGACATTTTTTCAGGGAACATTATATAGTCTTTCTGAATCATCACATACAGATTTGCATTGTTTTTAATAGCTACATCTTATTCCACTATATGCATGTACCATAATTTATTCTCCTCTATTAATGGCCATTTAGATTCCCTTTTTTGTTTCGTTTGTTTTTGCTATTATAATGCTGCAATGAATACCTTTATGCATTTATGCTAAAATTTCTATAGAATATAAAGAATGGAAGGACATAGAAGAGTAGTATTGCTAGGTCAGAGGGTATGTACACCTTAAAATTTGATAGATCTTGCTGAATTGCTCACCAACTTAGCTGCACTAATTGTCCTGCCAATTATCTTGGAGACTAATGTTTTTCCCACACCTATATAATACTAATATCAATCTCTTTCATCTTTATCTACCTGGCAGGTAAATAAATAAATAAATAAATAAATAAATAAATAAATAAAATCTTAACTTGCTTTTTACCATGTTTTTAATAGAATAAACAGCATTCAGTTTACCACTGAAATATAATTATCTAAAGTTCTACAAAATATGTAACTCATCTGAATTAGCCCGTGCTTCTGGTATAATAAATAACCCATCAATCGCTCATGACCCATGGAGCTCATTTTCTTTTGGATAGACACCAATAGACCTATTGTACTTCCTATCTCTGAGCAAGGTAAAACATAAAGCCAGAAATGAGATGTCTTTGTCCTATGGCTTACTCCCAAAAGTTCTCAATGGCTCACCTCACCTAAGTCTTCCTCCTTTACTTTCTTCCTCCACATCATGACTTTTGCAAAAATTTATGATGACATTTTTTAATGAGTAAAACGATCTGGAAAAAATATTTTTTCAGTTTTTATTTTCAATAAAACAAAAGGCAACACTGCTGTATAAAGTATTGCATATGAACAACATTTACACAAATATACAAAACTTCAAAAAGCTAAACTCCAGTTTATTTCCATAGCCTTAAAAAGGTAGGGAGCACATAAAAATATGCAAAGTCATAGTTTATTCTTCAGGAATGTAAACTCTAGGAATACAATTAGAAACAAGTATATTTACTATGAAAAGATTAGTATCACTATATGATTAGAAGATAAGAGGTACACAAAAAACTCCACATTAGAGGAAGCAAAGGTATGCAAAATAAGATCTTGAGTTTACTAATAGAAACTTCATATCAAGACACAAGTACTCTAGAACTCTACTATTAAAAAAACACACAAAAACATCTTCCAAAATGTTCACTGCTAGTCTCTTTAGATATGCACAAATTACAAAGTACAGAAGACAACATATTTATGTTCTGATAAAGAATTTAACAAAATTAAACATAAATGTGAATAACTCAAAGCACTGAGTATAATTTTACTAAGCAACTAATCTAAAAGTATAAATTCATGCTAATTAAAGAAATAGTGAGTTTTTATTTTTCATCCAAAGGTTGGGTTGATACTATTTTACATTAATTTCTATCTACAATGCTTAATTTATATACCCATCAAATTATTATCCTTCTTTTAAATGGCTTTTTTAAAAACATTTTTTCAGTCACATTATTTACCATAGATTCCTTGATGTGCTTCCCTTTAATAAAGTGTAAATTTATTGTGCCTATAGACTCAAATGTTAAACAGCCTTATTTTAAATATTTGTTTAAAATTATGTTTCAGAGTACATTTTTTCTCTTATAATTTAAATGTAAAAGTTTTAACATTTTAATTTTTTCTTCCCAAATAGGCATAATCCCTTAAAACTGAGATTGTTTTTATCTATTTTGGTTTAAAAAATATATTTCCCTTTAATTCAACTTGTTTTTATGTAGGTAATGTTTGCTAAGCAGTTGATTCATAATTGAAAATGGCCATGAAATATTGCTTTTTCAAAACAAATTGTCATCATTTAAGGACTGAGGATTTCTACCCCTCAAGTCTACAGAGCTGCCTTAAAAAGTTCCATGGTGGTGTACAAGGGATTCCAGGGTGCTCAACTGTCCTGGATCCTCTTGAAAATTCTACTTTGTTTCTCTCCCTACTTCATTCCAAAGGCAAATGCTGGGGCCCAGCTTCAATAGAATATCCCAGTAGTTGGGTATTTGAAGAGTAAGAGGTTGGGTAATTTCAAGAACCTCTAATGGCTTAAACTGTGGAATGGAACTACAATTTCTGTTCAGATCTTTCGAAGTATGGGGTATAAGGACCCATTCTGGGGCAGAATTCTTCTTGTGGTAAAGGGTATTATTCTGGATATGTAGGAGATCTGTGACCAAATGGCTACATCTAGGATTTTCATAAGAAAACAACCTACAAATATGACTTCAACTCAATATGGAAAGATGAATGGGAAGAGAGTAAAGGGATTAGCATTATCCAATATTAATAATTGCTATAAAAATTTTCAAATGTATAATCCTCACTTGAAACAGTATCAAAGGTACTATAAAATAATTTTACTGTTAACATAGCTTTGCATCCCAGAAAATCAACTGTTACAAATTATTTGAAGCAAAAATTCAGATCCACTCCACTAAGTAAGCCTTCAGAGTTTTTAAAAGAATATACACATGCAGATTTGTTCTGCATTGTATAAAAGGGTGGTACCCTTTTCATTAAAATTGTAGGCATCTGTAGCTGATTCCATTTATAGTTAACAAGAAAAATATAAAATGTTACATTTTATTGTAAAAATAAATGAAAATCATTAAAAATTTAGAATTAAAGAATCTAATAAGTATCATGGGCACTATTAAAAAATTCATTGGCTGTTAAAAACAATGAAGATTACGATATTTAGTACCTAACATACTTGATCTAGGATTGTGAGACACTGAGAATTCTAAATATTAGGTAATTTGTACTTTGATACTCTCTTCTCAGACTTTAACGTGCATAAAAATCACTTGATGATCTTGTTAAAAAGCAGACTATGATTCAATAGATCGAAAGAGGCTCTGAAATTCTACATTTTTAACAAGATGCCCTAGTGATGCCAACTACTACTGGTCCTCAGACCATAGGAGAAGCAATGATCTAGAATAATACCAAAATGAAGATCATTACAGCAGTTGATCATTAAAATCTGATCTCTCATTTGTGCTAGCTGTTTCCTCAATCTTATTCTACAAGTTTCCTAAGCACTTTAACTTGCTTAAAATGTCAATCTTCTAAATTAGTTCTTAAGACTATCAATACTATTAGTAGCTACATGCTTAGGGGAAATTCTTTGTTAAAGGATTACAAAAAGACAATAGGAAATTCACAGTGACATTTTAAAATATTTTTTAATTATTTATTTATTTATTTATGATAGTCACAGAGAGAGAGAGAGAGAGAGAGAGGCAGAGACAGGCAGAGGGAGAAGCAGGCTCCACGTACCGGGAGTCCGACATGGGATTTGATCCCGGGTCTCCAGGATCGTGCCCTGGGCCAAAGGCAGGCGCCAAACCGCTGCGCCACCCAGGGATCCCCTTAAAATATTTTAAATTGTACACAGGATTCCTGTTAAATCAATACAGTTTCAACTTTCACTGCCTAGTTGTCTTTTTTTTTAAACTATTAGAATATATACCAATAGATCTTATTCCATTTCTATTACTGGAACTAAAAACCTCAAATTCACTTATATTAAAAACCATATTCTATTCAGAATTAATGAATAAAAACTAGTTCATGCTTTTTTTAAGAACTAGATTTAAAATGGTAGCCAAAGCAGTTACGGTCAAAATTACATTCATGGTGTATGATTTAGTACTCCTCAGGACATACAAATTTTTTACATTTGAGCTCTGCACAAGCAGGCACAAAATGAAAACTAGTATGTTCTGTGTGACCACAGCTAGGGACTGGGAATAAGGAAACTACTGTGTACTAACAGTGAAAAAGACAAAGAGGGGATGTCCTAGGTCTTCCTTCCTAATCAACTTACTCTCATCCTCATTCTTGCTTTCTCTCTCTCTCCCTCTGACTTATTAGTTAAGTATACTTAATTTACAGAGAACCTCAACCATAGCCAAAATGACCACCACTAGCAAACACCAAACTTTTATGTCTATCTAGAGGTCACATGGTTCTCCATAGTACATACTGGTTTGTTTAGCTTCTGCCATTTTGCCTTTTTAATTTTTATTTTTTGGTTGGGGGCAACTACATTGATTATTCTATCATAACAATATTTAAAATAGGCCTGTTCACAAACAAAACTTTTTTTTCACATTTTATAATTTTAAGAACACAAATACAAATAACCTAAATTACTTAATATATAAATGTCCTTTGTCCATATTTCTCTATATTTTCTTTTATGACATTTTATAAACAAAAAATTTACCTAATATCCTTCATTTTCCAACAAACAATTCAGTATTATATAGTTGACATTGGTATCTTGAGAGCTGTGTTGCACGATTTTCAATGATTTCCAGGAAGTCGTCAATGATGTGTGCTTTGAATTATAGGTAAACAACCTACCTAGGGTTTCCAAAGTCAAGGAGCAGGGAAAGTCAGCTTTATAGCTTATTACATTTTAGAATTGAAGGGGATTTTCACCTCCTAAATCCAGATCAAATACTTCAAAACTACACATCTACTAGCAATCTTTTAATATAAAAATGTTCCAAAGATAACAACAGAAATTCCTCTACCTAACCCTTGGAATTATAGAATTAGTCTAAGTACTGAGTTAGTAGGCATTTTCCAGTGCTTCATATAAATAATTCCACTAATCTGAAGGATAATCTGATTATAAACATTTTTATCAGGCACTTTTCATAAACATCATTTTTGTTTTTTTCATGTGCCTGTTTTTCAGACTGCTATGCTTCACATCAGCTGTTGATTTCCCAGAGCTGTACCTTTGCCTCCTTCTTTCAAAAACAGTTCCCATACATGGAGATTCCCTTTGACTCTAAAGGCCAAAGACACAACCACCAAAGTAGGAGTTATTAAAAAATAAGAACTCACAACCTCTCATGAAATGTAACCAATCTGACCAATTTGCCAAAATGTACTGTTACACTGACAATCTTAGGGCAACAAAAACAAATAAGAAAGGAAAAAAAAAACTCAAATCAAGAGGGGAAAACATACCCAAGAAATAACAGAACCATATTTCAACTTACTGCAACCTACACATTATTCCCTTCATAATCAAGGTAGCCTTCAGAACTTAAGACATCAGGGCTCTTGTCTGGAATAGGGATGACAGACCCTGGGCTCTTTCAATAAAGAAGGAAAGTCGTATCTCTAGATCCACTGGTCAGGTGGGAAAACTATTACAAATTAATCTGTGGACAGAGTAATGCTAATACTAGGAGGTCTCTGCTGACCTGATTGATGCTTCAATGGAAGTTCAGTCCTTTCAGAAACGTAAATAAGCTTTTCTTCTTGGAGACTACAAGCAGAAAACCTATTGGCATCTGTCCCAGGCCCACAGCCAACCGCAGATGATGGATTATGTGGGACTGTGACACCACTGACTTGTTCAAAGGATTTACTGAACACAGTTGCAGCAGTCTTAGCCAAACCATGGCTACAAGGTTTAGGGAGAGATTGGCTGGTAGTTAATGTCAGTCTCTTCAAAGAGAGAAGCTCAAGATTCTCACTCTGGGCTCTTTGAGTTTGTTTTCGGGCAAAGTGATCTTTGCAAGACTCCCCTGTAGTTTCTTTTTCTTTTCCTCCAGTTTTGCTTCCTGCTGAGCGTCTCTGAGTCTTTCCTACACTTGTCTTGTTACTAGAATTGTTACTACTGTTTGATAAACCAGACTGGCTAGTACTAGATGCAGCCCTGGAATAAAATCCCTCGTCAACTTCAGATATCTCCATCAGTTCTTCTTGACCTGTTAATTCCGTATTTCCTAGACAAAGAAATAACAAAGATTAATTAATATCAAGTATTTTAAGTAATTCTTGTTTCACGATTAATACCAAATCAATTATAAACTTTAGCATAATTACATAAAGTAACAGATTATAGACCAAAATTAGATAAATCAAAACATTCTATAAAACATAAAAAATAGTTCATTGTAATTAAATAAGAGTAATTTAGGGTATATTAAACAAAAAGCATGCCATAAACCACCCCCACCCCGACCCGTGTTTTTAGAAAGAGTTCTCTTACATGCAAAAGATCAGAAATAATTAGGAAAAATACCAAACAGTTAAACTAGGGATAAACTCTTCCCCGGTAGCAAAGCAGTATAAAATCAAAGCTCTTACCAAGGAACTTTAAAAAACAAATAGTGTTAAAATATTTTAAAGATTTTTTTTAAAGGTTGCATTCTACATTCTAGATTATTTTACTTAGATTAAAAAAAATAGACCATAACTATCATGAGCTCAAACTTGTTAAAATTCTATAAACATTATCCTTCAAATCAAAGATGGCAAAAATACAAAGATAAAAAATAATTTCAGATCTCAAAACATAAGCAGAATATTATTTTGGAAGTAATTTTCTGCCTTAGTTTTCACAACAATTTACTCAGAGAAAATATAGGTACAACCATTCCAAAGAGCATTAGATCATTGAGAAATTGTGGTGCATAATTCATGCATTTTGATTATTAGATGACATGCAAAATTTTGTGATTGTGCAACTGTTGCTTAAGACATGCAGCAGTGGTCCTTTGCCATGAGATACCTTGGAGGGCAGCTAGAAAGTGCTCTGCTAAAACTGCACTCTGCCAGGTGAGTTTATTCCATCCTCCATCATTTTTCTTACAGATTTTTGCCTCCTGATCTCTGGCAAGCCTTTGCTCTCAGTTCTAGGATCTGTGGCTGTTTCCTGCACACCCTGTATATGTTGAGCATCAATGTCTCCTAGTGTTCTGCCTTTTTCCCCATTCCCGGTTCTCTCTCCGGCCACATTTGTGACACTAATCTCAGGAATGACAAGGATGCCCAATTCAGTAGTATCATTACTGTTGTCAGGTTGCTCTAGAATTGAAGATGATAAGACAAAATGATGGCTGAAAACAAAACAAAATAAAAATGCAAAACAAGAAAAACAAAAGACCCAAAACAAAAACTGGATGACTGAATGTTATGGATTAAGTCAAATATCTGCACTGTAGAAATTTCTATAATTTACATCACTCTGACAGTATTGGAGACAAGTAGGGTCACATTCTATAATTTTAAATGACAGTGAAAAAACTCACAGAGCATCAATTCATGTTCTGCACATTTTTCACACACATATTTGACACAGACCATGAAACAGAAATTTTTTAATAAATTAAAATAGAATTTCTATTGTTTTAAAGATAACATCGTGACCATTGAACTTAGGTCAAGCCTTGGGCAAATGTTCCAGGATGTACAGCCAAAACTCTAGCTCTTGTCAACATTAGGAACCAAAACACTTAGGAATTCCCCTCACATATTTAAAATTCTATTTTTTTATTAGATTACACAGAGATTGACTTAATAAACTACAATACTGGGAAAATGATTATTCATTCATAATATCATGGTTAGCAATGCTGCAAGTACAGTTTTTGTCTAACACACCAATCATTGTGTGTATTGGCAAATATTAATGCAGCTGTGACACAATTAAATAGTCTACTCCTTCAGATTCATACTCATACCATAAATTTAGGCCAGCTTGTAATAGTTCATTACTAAACTGGAGAAAAATTAAAATGGACTTGGAAAAATAAAAAAGGACCAACTTCGCTGTTGGTCCTTTATTCTGAAAACAGCCATTGTAATCAAAACAAAAGAATGAAAGTCCTAAATAGTTATTACTTGTAGGTATTTTTTCGGTATCTTAAACCACAAAGCGTGGTTTTATTTAAAGTTGTCAAGGAAATATCTGTAATAAATGGGAAAAAAAACATGAATATATCTACCTTTGGTCAGTAATGAAAATTAAAGTTCAAAACAACATAAGACTATGTAAAACAGTATATATCTTAAAAAATGTAGAACACAAATCTGCTTGAGAGACATTACCTACTACTTTCAAATGTTTCTCATGATAGGATTATCAAGGTCTTACTCATGGTGCTAAAGCATGTGTAACAGTAATAGGTTGTAAAAGAATGGAGGTCAGAGCCACACACTCCTAAGGATCTCAAGCTTTGCTACAAATTAGTATCACCTGGTAATCTTTAAGAACTACTGATACCTGGCTCTCACCCTAGACATTCTGATTTAATTAGTATGAGGTATGACCCACACACTGGGATTTTTAAAAGTTCCCAGTGACTAATGTGCAGCAAATTTTGGGAACCACTGCTCTATTCAAATTCTTTCAAATTTTGAAAACTTAATGCAAAAGTTATTATGAACGCCCTGGGTATTCTATACCCAGCAGCAATATGCACTTCAGGAGGCCCTCAAAGCTGCATGTTGCCCTGGACTGGTGGGCCAATGTGCTGGTATAATAATTTTCCATTTACTAGTGCTTCATAAACCTTTGACTGAAGGTTCTTGAAATGAAATGTTTACTTCCTAAACAGGCCAAAGCATGTTGGTGAGGTAGTATCACCTCTAATAAAGGTTAAATGAGATTAAAAAGTTCCAACAAGGCCTACTTCCCCTTGCTAACAGCTGTCTTCAAAGTGAGGGCAAGTAAATATCTAACTGAGATAAATGCCAGAGGCCACTGGAACTGAGAGTAAAATCACCATGGCATTGTTGGGTGACAAGCAAGACTTGTCCATTTACCTTACAGAAGCAAATTTCACAAAAGATCTACTAAAGGAACCATCTTGCTCCCCCAAAAAATGATAAGCTGCAGAAATTATCCAGACATAGCAAAGCCAATGAACATAAAAAATAAGCATAGGTGGCCTAATAGAAAACAACACTACTTACACTGAATGGTACTAAACAGTTTTTTTTAAAGCATTCGTATATATTCTTCAATTATATTCTCTGAATTAGGCAATGACTCCCATTTACAGACAAGGAAACCGAAGTTTAGAAAGAGCTAATAACTATTCAGTGGGTAGGCTAAACAGTAAAATCTCTTGACTTCAAATGCCCATTCTAACATATTACAAAATCTAACTCTGCAATTCATTAAAGTCCATTTGAGTTAAATATACTCTAACATCCCTCAATTAGGTTTAACTTATTTGCTTAGATTCCTGGTCTTCTCATAGAGAGCAAATAATTTATTTTGGCTGAATAGAGAGCAAGAGCAGATAGAAGTGGGCAAGAAAACTTAAACAGGCCAATAACTCTCAAGGTTAGTTCTTCATTTTTTTAAACTTGGCTTATTTTTAAAAAGACATCAGTGAAAATCATCAATTTAAAATGGTGCTGCAATGATGAAAATTTTGTGAGAAAAACTAGAAAATGACAAGAGGAATAATATATAAAGCAGTACTAGGCAATGGGTTTGCCAGCCACATGTCTGGGATGGATACTGGTCAAGATCTGTAGCTACAAAAACAATGATATTAAAATTTTTTAAACTATTAAAATAAATGGCAAGTAGAAAAACGAGATTATGTTTTTCCACAGGTACAAATTTTTGATTAATTTATGTAATGTTATCACTCAAAACGGTAAAAGTGGCAAATTTTAAACTGCTTATTAAGGTAATTTTGTCAGAAGAAAAGCATGTAATTCTGTATAGAGCTAGAAAGAACAAATATAATTTTCAGGAAAATTATGAAATGAAGATAACTATATGACTCAAACATTTGTTACATGATATTGTTCTCTATTATTTTTCCAACTTTTTCCCCTATATGTGACCCAATCTCCCTGCACACATCTTCTTACTGGTCTTGCTATTCCAACTAGGCCTGGGATGTTCTTCCCTACATAGCTACCTACATGGCTCACCTCCTTTCAGATTTTTCTCAGAAATTTCCTTCTCAGTGAAACCTTACCTGATCATCCTATTGAGTTTCAATATCCTCCATATTTCATATACTCTATTCCTTACCTTGTTTCTTCTAAGCGCCTAATTATTCTCTAAACTACAATTATTTCTCTATCTTGTCCACTAGACATCAGTTCCACAAGGGCAGGGATTTTCTGGTCACTCTTGCATACCTAATACCTGAAAAAAGTAGCTTGTATATAGTAGGTGCCCAATAAATATTTGTCTGATAAATTAAATGAATCTCCTGTTACATGGTGAAATTATTAAAATAAATGAAGGTGAGAAGACATGAGAAAGGTAATCTAGGGGGAAGCCCTGGTGGCTCAGTGGTTTAGCACCGCCTTCAGCCTGGGGTGTGGTCCTGGAGACCTGGGATCGAGTCCCACATCAGGCTCCCTGCATGGAGCCTGCTTCTCCCTCTGTCTGTGTCTCTGCCTCTCTCTCCTTCTGTGTCTCTCATGAATAAATAAATAAAAAATCTTAAAAAAAAAAAAAAGAAAGGTAATCTAGGAATGTGCTACTTGACTAGGTAAAAAGGGAAATATACTATACAGTTTATACTAATAACAAGTTTTAGATGTCAGAGAAAGTAAAGTCTCTTTGTTTTGGAAAAGTAAAGTAGCCACCTCCAAATTCAGGTTTAGTAAAATGCTTAATAATGCCATATATATTTAAATCTACAGTTCTTTTATTATGCTATCCTCTGGATAACATAGCTAAGGAGAAGAAGTGAATCTTTCTTTAAAAAAATTACAAGAGATGTTGTAAGGTAATATAAATGTATAAGAAAATAGAATCTGTTCAAAAGCCTCAAACTTAAATCTATGCAAAAGATGTCATAGTTGTTTTATACCTATAAAAAACAATACTTACATTTGACTTCAAATAATTCGAAAAGTTCAAAAAAGATCCAAAGAGAAACGTCTCAGAGAATATTTTATTTGTATGACCTTTATAAACAGGTAAACTTCTCTCCACACAGAGAAATTAGGAGAGTTAAAG